TATGGGGGAAACGAATAGTAATCATATATCATGCACCTGAGGAAAATAAGAAATTTACTTAGGTTCTTACTTGATTATATTTTACCTAATTTTAATCAATAATGCAGAATTGAAAAAAATACACAAAATAGGGAAACTAAAAATCTGAAATCAAAATTACTGTAATAAATTAGACACTACTAATAATAACAAACAATCTTTGATGTGTTTGAAGTTTCTGATGTTCTAATATTGTATTTCATCTGATTTTTTGCAGTAGCAAGAAGCTTCCAGAAATTCTAGACTTTAGGTAAACATATGATGAGATAGCAATTAGAATGTGTTGCTCACTGGATAAAATAGATAAAGTGCCCGACTTCCATATCTGACCACATGTTCAAACTATATCCCAGGCACTTTCTAAGATCATGGAGAGGTACTAGTACTACTTTTGAAAAACAACAGTTAGTAATTTGAGATTAGGATTTCTTCAGTGAAGTTAGGAAACATTCTATGTACACATATGCACACAAACAATTGCATACAGAGAAAACCAAAGTATATGATATCATCTAACAATATTCTCTTTTGGGGCTTTTCAAAAGGAATTCTATAAAATATTGTGATATTATAGTTATGCTTTGGGCATGTCAGAGTAAAGCTGGAGGCAGTTGATACCTAACCTTATTTCAACATTTCTCTGTCAAAGAAAATCACTAAGATAGTCCCAATATTATTTTATTGTAGTAAGAAACATAGGGCCACTAACTGATTTAATTGATATACTGTATCCTGGGCTTTTAAATTATAGAGAATAAGAACAAAACTAGTGAGTGAAAAATAAAAACTATTTTAATACATATCATGCTCAAAACATTACATATCTAAACTAACTTATGTTATAATTGGTAAAATGTAATAAAAATAGTTCTACAGGTTAATATGCTAACCTAAATTCAAAATTATTATGCAAATGATTGGAATCAGAAAATATCTTAAATACTTGGAGATTTTTACTGAAGACTAATTTTAAAAATATGAATTCATACTTTTTATTTGAATTGATAAAATTCAGATACTTTAAAAAAGAAAATTTATTTGTGTTCAATCAAAACAAAAGACATATCATTTATTTATCATGTTTGCATTATCTCAAATTAGTACATCTCTGGAAAAGGAGGGTGGTATATATGTTTGATATGCATTTATTCATTATAAAACATTTACCAAGTGCCATGCTTCCTGTCCTGTTGTGTCAGACTCTGAGATACAGTAGAGAAAAAGATAATCATGTCTCTACCCTCCGATTTGTGTTTCAGAGTGTAAGATATATAGAGAGAGACAGGAGGAAGGAAGGAAGGAAGGAAGGAAGGAAGGAAGGAAGGAAGGAAGGAAGGAAGGAAGGAAGGAAGGAAGGAAGGAAGGAAGGAGACAAGAAAGAAGAAAAGAAGGAAAAAATGGTTTAAGGTTACATGATGTCTGAAAAAAATGTGAATTTAGTTGCAACATGGTTGCAGTCAATGCAGGCGTAGGAATGCCACACTGGGAATCCCACACTCGAATCTATGCACGGAGGACGGAATTGTGCTGGCAGACAGGCTGCCCAGATGCTCAGGCCTGTCCTTTGTGAGCTTGGGAAATTTCTTTATGTTATCTTATCTTCAATACCCTCATTTTAAAAAGAGTAGAATCAGGTGTTTTAAGGCCCTTTCTGATGTTTTATATTGAATATTAGATAACTTGGACAGACAGTTTCAGTCCTCATTCTAATTATGTAGCTAGTGTGCCAGTGGCTGGTTCTCAGTTTATGCATCTGGATGGTCCATGAGCTGGGACTAAAGCTGGGACTTCAGGCTGATCACCTTTCCTGAGTTCAAGAGCACGCAGGTATTAGGCCTTTGTTACAAAGTTTCTTACCACCATATTTAACCTCAATATATTAATCTGTAACTAAAAAGCAAAGTATATAAAAACACAATAATGAAAACAGAACTAGATGATAGACACCCCTGAAAACTTGAAAGGTCAAAATTGACAGTTCATTTGATGATTTCTCATGTGAATTGGGGGTTATAATATAAGGGAAAGTTCTAGGCTGTGTGTCCTGAATCAGTGTTTTTAAGTTTTGAGGGCAAAGGAAGTGATGTATAGGTTAGGGGGCTGGAAAAGAGAATAGTGCCAGCAGGCTAAGGGACACTAGGAGCTTGGGGCTGGAAACCTAGCAGAGCAATGGAAGGCAGGCAGAGAGAAAATAGTTTTTAATGGCTTGGGTAGGAAAAGTTGGTGATTCCATGTTACACATAAGGATGTAAAATAAGTCTTTTTTCTTTTCCACTTCTCTGATGAATGTGGCTGACTTGTGCTGCCTGGCCAGGCATAGAATTGGAATGCAGATGACTTGGACTGTTCCATGCCTAGTGGGGAAAGGAGCAAGCCCAAGCTTCTGGGAGAGAAATCAAGCCAGCCCACACTGTCTGTGTAACTCATCTTCAATCTTAAGGCAACAGGAATAAGGAGGAAACAAACACAGAGAAGACTGGGCTGAGGCTGGGCCTTGAGGAGTAGCTGGACCAGAACTGCAGTCTCCATGTTGCATGCAGGGTCCCCACTTTCAGAAGGCCCAGGCGCCTCACTTGTATTCGAAGGATCAGCAAATGCTTTTATGAAACTGTAGTTTATAAGAAATCCAACAAAATTGAGCCCAAAATACTATTTTCTATCGTGTCCTTCATTATGTTCCAGTAATCTTCTTGATATGACATTTGCAAAAGAAGTGTCTAGGAATATACCTGTCAGGTTCTGAAGTTCTCCATGACCGGTGCTTCCTCCCCATCCTCTTGTTTCTTCTTCGTAGGTAAGATATTTTGCCGAAGATAACAGGATGTCCTCTTTATATTGAAAGGAAGAAATCTTGGAAGTACTCAAAGTTTTATTTCAGCCAGTCTAAAATAAATGAAATATTTTTGTCTATTTCTTAGCATATGTATCTAAATAGAAGATTTTTATAGGAAATGTGTATATATTACCTATTTGATTCTCTGAATGGCTTATGGCCATAATTATTTAAATTAAAGTCTTTCTTTTCATTCATTAGAAATAGAAAATTTGAGCCTTCATTTATATTTTGAACATTTGAAAAGAAATAGATAAAATGCCACCATCATACATTCTAACATCAAAGAAAATTACAGTTTTTCTCTTGTTAATTGAGAATATTCAGAGAAACAAGATGCTCATGCACAGACTTTGAAATTATCACCTGAAGCAGTAACTATTAAACTGTCTTGTCAAATGCTGCTTGGTTTGCATTTTTAATAATATTTGTGGTACCTTGGACTTTGTACAGGCAAAGACTGTGAAATGCTTGCCTTATAATCTTAGATGCTGCTGCTATTTCAATTCCTTTTACTTGTCCATTTCTTTTTACTTGCTATTGGAATATATGATGCAGAAATGGGACTTCTATAAATGATTTAAAGCGAAGGATTTGAAATCTGTTTGTGTTTTGTATCAGAAGACTATTTTAAAAGGAAATCTAAAACAGAGATCATATAGCATTTTTTTTCCTGAGAAGAGGTTTTGATGCTATTTTCCATTTTACTAATGCAAAGAATATCTTTTTAATTAATCTTGTTACAGTCAGTTGTTTATTTTATTGTCATTTGGTCAATGGAGGTGCTCGTTTTCATGAAACATTAACCATGACATTCAGTGACCATTTATAAAAAAGAGATTGATAACCTGGATTGCATTAGGGGGAAAAAATGGAAGTAGTGAGTGACAGAATGCTGAGATAGAAGGCTGAATAAGAGAACTAGGAGCTAGGTAGGAGTTTAAATACATTTTGAGAGAGGACAAGTGAGATTAAATGAAAGAACTAAGGCTTCTCATAACACTGAAATGTGAAGGTTGTTAGGAGAGATAAAATCTTGATGTCTCTCTCTTGTGAATTTAAGTAGCTCAGCAGTTTTCCCTCATTAGCACCTTTTACCGATATCTGTCTGATGGCAGAATTTTGAGAGGGGCCAAGAGGTGGGTGATTTAATGTGCATACCTGTGATTCCACATTTGTTATGTTTTTCTCAGTTGAACAGAATCAAGAAATAATGCCTTATTTAATTTTATGTCTACAGAAATAAGGTTTTGTCATGTTTTATCTATTTTAATATCTGAAATCACACTCTAGATTTATTGAAAGTCACTATGGTTTTTGTTCTGTGTTTAATGGCCAATTTTAAAGAGTTATCACTTACATATAGTTTTATATACACAGATTTTTCAAAGGTTTAAGAAATTTCTTAAATTATAATACCTTGAAGAAAAAATAATTGGTTCTATATTGTTCAGACAGTGTATGGTACATTGAGATTCTCAAAACTGGAGTATCTTACTAAGAAAGAGATTGGATTAGATCTCTTCTTTGTCCAAATAATATTTTGGAACTGTATAAATTATACTTATTTTGCATTCTGTATATATTTAGAACTCTTTAGGTCATTGTGCATGAAATAATGCATTGGTAAGAAACAATTAATGCATTCCCAGGATATAAAAATACACCAGTATTTGTAATGACAAGGCCCTATATGTTACTGATCTATAATTTTAAAAAGACAACAGTAAGAAAATAGCAGTAAATGTGGAAAACTCTAAAACTTAATTTACCTCTTAGTCTATATACTTTCTTCCAAACATACATCTTTCTTTATACTGTTCTTTATTATTAACTGCATACACATTCAGCTTCCTTTTATCTATACTCTGAAATATGTGCTGTTTTTCTTATGGGTAATAATATTCATATGTGTTCACCTTTGAATTACATTGGAAACAATTATTATTTTACTTAATTTAAAAAAAGAAAGGATTTTTTTTTTTTTAATTCTTATTATATAGCTTCTGCTCCCAATACTATACATCGACGCTATAAAAATTTCCACATCTGCATTTGTTTTCTTTGACTATTTTTTCCGGTTATTTTCTATTTTTATAAATTTGTTTTTCTATTTTATATTGTACAGTGGGAAGAGATTGGTGAAGTTGATGAAAATTATGCCCCTATCCACACATACCAAGTATGCAAAGTTATGGAACAGAATCAGAATAACTGGCTTCTGACCAGTTGGATTTCCAATGAAGGTGCTTCCAGAATCTTCATAGAACTGAAGTTTACTCTTCGGGACTGCAACAGCCTTCCCGGAGGACTGGGGACATGTAAGGAAACTTTTAACATGTATTACTTTGAGTCGGATGATGAAAATGGGAGAAATATCAAGGAAAACCAATACATCAAAATTGATACCATTGCCGCTGATGAAAGCTTTACAGAACTTGACCTTGGGGACCGTGTCATGAAACTGAATACAGAGGTTAGAGATGTGGGACCTCTAAGCAAAACAGGATTTTATCTTGCCTTTCAAGATCTGGGTGCTTGCATCGCTCTGGTTTCTGTGCGCGTGTACTATAAGAAATGTCCTTCTGTGGTGCGACACCTGGCTGTCTTCCCTGACACAATCACTGGAGCCGATTCTTCACAGTTGCTCGAAGTGTCGGGCTCCTGTGTCAACCATTCTGTGACAGATGAGCCACCCAAAATGCATTGCAGCGCTGAAGGGGAATGGCTAGTGCCCATCGGGAAATGCATGTGCAAGGCAGGATATGAAGAGAAAAATGGCACCTGTCAAGGTAAGGATATGTCTGCGTCTGCAGGTTCTGTCTGCTTCAGTTGGATCACGTATATGTATTTCCTCCAATGATTATGAGCAAGTGACCTTTTACTTTGCTAATTTATGGAGATGATTTCTTTTCAAGTTTGATTTCTCTCCTGCAATTTTAAAATTGTTGGCAACGATGAAAAGTTTAATGTTTTATTTTATTGGCTATACATAGTTCATGTACAGAGTGTCTTACTTGCAGTGTATTATTTCATATTCATTTTCCTTTCAGAAATTTCATTTTTGAGCCACTCAAACCAAGAGGTTATTATTTTTTTTTGTACGTGACTTTCTTTATAGGATTATTATATGCTACTCTACTGCTATTTTCTCTCCATGAAAAATAGTACTTTTACTTGCTTTATAAAATTCAAATACAAATCTTAGATGAGACTTGTTTGGGCATGTTTTTAACTGCTTCTTAAAATTTTTTCAGAAATATGTTCAGCCATAGAAACTTCATAGGAAAATATTTGTCAGCTGCAGGACTTCATTTACTGTGTTGTTTACATATAATTGCTATCACATACTTAAAAAAATTATAATTTATATTTAAATGCATAGTAAATAGTGCCCAAGAAAATGCCTGCTTGGAGATGGAGCCAATGCAAAAAGGTCATTTCAGAGCAATTTGAACTTGGAGATATTTTTTATTTTAATTTTTATTTTAAATTGAAATTTGATCATGTACGCTTCCTTCTTCATTTGAAAATACCCTCATTTTGCCCACAATGTGGTGGGTTGCCCTTTTAAACTTGGATTTTTATCAGTGGCTTTTTGGAACAGGATACTACTTTATGTCAAAGTAAAGAACAGCTTATAAGGAAGAAAAAACATTATTTTCTTTAAAAAATCACTCATCCTTATAAACTTGTACTTGTCTCCATCATGATGATGTGCACATACTAAGTAACTTGGGAGAAAAGCAAATGCTGACAAGTCGTTCTAATCCCACCTGATAGCTTCAGGTGCATCCCCCCACCCCAAACCCAGTATATAATGTGAATCAAATTTGCTCAAGTTTGTTCAGGCCTGAATTCAGATTGATTATAGATCCAGGGAAACAAAACTAGGGAAATTACCTGTAAATTATAGTGGTATTGCTTAATTATTTCTCTCTTGAAACATATTGTACCATTTTTAAATTTCCTTTCTCAGAATCAGCTCATATGTATTTGTCTCCTGTATTTAAGTGTATGGTTGTTATTTCATGTATTCTACACACACACATGCACGCATGCACATATGTAAACATAAAGTTTTATTAAATTAAAATTATGTTTCAGAAATGCTTTTAAGATTGTCAGGGAAATGAATTATATTTTATTCAAGATTGGATTTAAAGGAAAGTTTTAACTAACCTTACCTTAACTTTTTTTTTTTTTTTTTTTGAGCAGTCTTCTTGGTGTAAGGTGAGAATATATTTGATTGTGGAAAATTAAATATAATCCATTGAATACATTTCATTCTTATCCCTAAAATATTTACAGTCTAAATCTTATTATTTCTAAACATTTGATTACTAGTTCTTGTCTTCTTGAAGGAAAGCTTTCAATCAAGAGACAAAGTGCAGCCCTGGCCGGTTTGGCTCAGCAGTTAGAGCGTCAGCCTGCGGTCCGGAGAGACCCGGGTTCAGTTTCCGCTAAGAGCACATACCTTGGTTGTAGTTTGTCCCCGGCCCTGGATGGGTAGTGCAGGTGGCAATCACTTGATGTGTCCCTTTCATGTCGCTGTTTCTCTCCTTCTCTCCCTCCCACTCTATCTGAACAAAAAATGGAAAAAATGTCCTCGGGTGATGATAAAAAAAAAAAAAAAAGGAGAGACAAAGTGCAGCAAAACAAGCAAGAATTCATTGGTCACCATGGAAACACACTTAGGACAGTGAAATGAGGAAGGGCATAGAAGAGGCAACAGCAGAGCCCAGGCTGGGCTGCTTTGGCTCACTGGGGAGTCAGAGAAAAGGTGCCTCAGAGGCAGGTTCAGGGGTTACCCCTGGACTAGCTGCTGCCGCCAATTGCTCCCCTGGTTGCAAGTCTCATGGGGGAAGAAGAGGGGTAGGGAACAGCATGGGTGTGCTTCCCTGTGGGAGAGCAGCACACTGGGTCCTTTGTGTTGAGGGTATTTATCTCTCTCTTGCAGGTGAGAATCTTAGGGGAGGTCTCAGGGGAGGGCCTCAATAGAATATTCATCAGGTGTGCTCTTTCAGGGTCCTGGTGTCCACTGAGTGGTTAGTGCCAGGGCAGGGGGTCATTAGTCAATGCAACTGGTCCTGAGGCCACCACATTACTTGTCTGGTCTTGCTGCTTTTCTGGGCCAGGAGCTGAAATACAACTGAGCTGGGATTAAATTATTCCATTTATGATGAAAATATCTTGGGAAAGTAGTGTTCTGACAGAATGTATCTTAGTGCAGGTATTTGATATATAGTTTTCTCTTCTCATACTCTTCTCTTAATAACTGAAAAAAGACCTAACTGAGAGACAGTGGGGTGAGCAGCAGAGACTACATTGTAGAAAAGTTCACTGAACTGGACTCTGTCTTAATGTGTTTATTACTCCACCCTGGTGGTAGGAACACAACCATGGGGGTCATGAAGACCATGAACTACACAGCTCCAGAGGGTGTTGAACATAATGTAAAAAGTCTATACCAACAGTGCCTCTTGGTGTTTTCCATTGTGCAAATAGCATGTGGCCATGCTATTAAGAATTCCAAATGTTTATTCTATAATAACTTATTTCACTGATTGAATAAATAAATGTTGAAGGATTGTTTTGGAGAATTAAGGCATCATAGATATTCCTTAGGCATTTACATCTGTATATATGTGTATATGCAAGTAAATGTATGTGCACATGTGTCTTAAAACTACACCATATCAACAACTCAGCAATTTTCACCCTTTTCATCTCATGGCACACATAAACTAATTACTAAAATTCTGCAGCACACACATATATATATTTTTTTGATCTAACAAAAAATAGGTGTAATTTTGATTCATTTATTCATTTATACCAGATGGCTATTGTTGTATTGGCTGTTGTCATTTTTTTATTAAACAAGCTAAGAGCTAAAAGGTCAGTGCCCTTGACTCAATAGTGAGGTGTCACATGTTTTAAAAATTCTTACAGCACACCAGTTGAAACTCGCTGCTCCTAACCCATTCTATGATCTTCACTTTCTAGTCCTAAACTTTGAAGTGGAGTTCTCAATGTTTTAGAATTAGCTTTGAGAGGCCAGAAATCTAGGAATCATTCTTAACATTTCCTTTCTACTCGCTACCTGATTCTGATCCATCACAAACAGTTATAGAGATTATAACCCAACAATCTGTTAAAATTATTTGTCTCTCTATTTTCTTTTCCTCCAGTCTACAAGCATATCTTGCTAGAACTGTATTCTTAAATGTAATGAATGACTTTGTATATAGTTTTGACTTTTGAGCCATGTGAATATATCATATCCACAAACATGTAATTCTCGTCGTTTCACACACCTGTCCTCAGGCCCCTGCATGGTTTTGACCCTATTATTTCTCTTGACACATCTTAAACTATACTTTCTCCCATTCACTATGCACTAGCCATACTGGCTTCCTTTCAATTTCTCAAAGGCAATTTGATCACTTCCATTAGTTCTTCTATGATTCCGTTCATTTCCCTGAAACCTTCTTTTATCCCTTTTATGCCCAGTTAATTCACGCTAATTCTTCAGATCTATGCTCCAACACCTCTTCCTCGGGCAAGCTCTCTCTGACACTTTGAGACTAAGTCAGGCCTATTATTTACTCATATTGTTCCTTCATAGAACCAGTTAGAGTTATTAATTGGCTCCTACTTGTTAAGATATGATTTAATTAATATTTCTCCCCACCCCCATTAGACTACATAATCCTTGATGGCAGAGGTGATATATATTAAGGAATTAGAAAGAAATCAAAAGGCAGTAGAAAGAAAAAATTTTAAGAGAGGACATTGAATGTACAAAGGCCTAAAAGAATACTGTGTTTCAAAATTATTGATTTATTTTACCTTTGTATTTCTTATATATCAGAAGAAAACATCCTTGGTCACAAAATTGATGTCTTTAAAATTTTTTTTTCTTAGTCTTGAGATTCTCAGGCCAAATTTTCAAGTTCTAGGTATTAAATCATATGTGATTAGTATGTGATGCATTAACTATTATAGAGGCCATCTTAGTGATTCTTGCAGAGCTCAACATGTCATATACTGAAATATGTTTATAAGATAGCCTTATTATATATTTACATTTAATCACTCAATTTCCTTTTTTATAATGTAAGATTGACATTACATTAAACAATTACCTGCATTGACTATGAGAATATTCAGGTCAGAATTTAGCTGCGAATCCTATTAAATAGCAGGAATCCTGCCTGGCCGGTGTGGCTCAGTGGTTGAGCATGGACCCATGCACCAAGAGGTCACTGGTTCGATTCCCAGTGGGGGCACATGCCCAGGTTGTTTGCCTGATCTCCACTGAGGGGCATGCAGGAAGTGACCACTCAGTGTTCTCTCTCACTGATGTTTCTATCTCTCCCTCTCCCTTCCTCTCTCTCTCTAATTTCAATAACGGAAAAAAAAAATCTAAATAGCAGAAATCTTAGTCTTGTTTTTGTTTGTTTTTTCTTATTACTAAGTTTTCAAAGTCCTCAATAAGACAACGAGCTTGTAAGCATTAGAATAATAGATTTTGGTTTGCTATGTAACATTTTACGCTTAGATTACTTGATTCCATAAAAAGGTCTTTTTAAATTTTTCATGTGAAATAAATTATGATAAATTATTTTTTATTTATATAAATGTGAAACTCAGATGGGTACAGGGGTATGCCTTGGTGTTAGAGTTGATGTAATACATAGAACTCCCCAAATGCTTATTTTTTCACACTAAATCATGATTCTTTGTTATAACTAATGCAAATATTTGAGTTTATTTCTGCATCTTA